TATTAATAAATTAATTTGTACTACAGAGGTGGCACAGAAGAACACAAAAGTGGCTTGTAGGTAAATTTTCAGACGTTCAATGAGGCTCAGAGGTGGCATGAGTGCAATTAAAGTCAGTGGAGATTGTGGAGATTAATGTTGTCTGTGTGTGTGTGTGTGTGTGTGTGTGTGTGTGTGTGTGTGTTAGTGAGTGTGTGTGTGGGGGTTTATGGGATGTAACCGTTGAATCCATCAGTCCCTCACAATCCATCCCGCTCTGTTTCCATAGTAACACAATACAGTGTGTCTGTAGACGCGTTTCTTTCTTCATCTCTATGTGTTTTATTCTGAGGATGATGTTCATTGTTTAATAAACGCGTGGTGATCATGAACTGTCTCTGAGCCTCACAACTTGTTATTCAGAGCTGAACTTACACAAGCTCCATCATCTTTGTTTCATATGATTTTTCTAGGCTGCTTTACTTCCATAACAAAGAAAACGGAAGCTGAAAAAATCTCAAAGCTTTAGCTGCAATACAAATGAGCAAAAAACTGCTCTTCTACACACACTTCTCTCAAACGTTCCCATTAAAACGGGTTCAAGAGCGATATGAATGTTCTTTTCTGTTATAACACATTCTCATCTCCATGGAAACAACCTTTCCCCTCTTTCCTCTGTTTCTCCTCACCGCCTGTGCCATTACGCTCACTACGGCTTCATTATAGATCTGTGAGAGACGCGGGATAAACCTCTCATTTTGTCTCTTAATGTCTCATAACTCTGGAAAGCGCTTCGGTTCGCTCACCCAGAATGCTTTGCGCTGAACCCAGTGTGTTTGGTGGTCATTAGAGGCGTTAATCGCAGTGTTTACTCGTGTCTCTCATCTATTCTCAGGAGGAACAGCATCTGTCACAAACATGCTGGTGCTTTCAGCCTCCGTTTGCTTGTTTGAGAGCTCAAATACATGCTTTTAGTGAGCAATGACTAAATATTAGTGCAAAAATGACCGAATTTTGGCACTTAAACCCCTGTAAGTGATATATGCACATGCAAAATGACTTTCCAAACAGGTTTCCCAAACACTCGCTGTCCTGTCTAACATATGATCCATATTACAAAGGTTGCACTAGCTATGGAAGCATGTTTAGAAAATAACAAGGTGAGGGGCCGTTCACACGGAACGCATGTTTCTATCCCAAAGCGCTACTTTTGCATTGTTTTTCTACGTAAACATGCGCTAGATGGTTGTGTATGACCGCTGCGCTCACGTCTCGTGTCTTTCGCAGTGCTGCGTCTTTAAGACGCCGTGTCAAGCTAAAATAATTTAAACTTTCACATAAACAGTGGGCCAATCAGAAGGCCCCGGAGGCGGGGCAAGCGTTGTTTACAGTAGCAAGTTGGCATGGCAACCGTTTTATCTGACGGCAACATGACTTAGGAGGCGTTCTGTGCTGTGCTTTTTAAAAAAACGTTCCTGAGTGCCGCGTCTACGTTTTAGGGGCCGTTCACATGTTGCGTCTTTTGCGCGCTCAAGTTTGTTATTTCAAATGTAGACGCGCAAATAGAGAGCACCGTCTCAACTTTTCAGAATGCCACAACTTGTCATGTGACAAGAACCAACCAATCACCTTCACCCTTTCCATAACAACATTGAAAGCTCAGCCAATATGGAGCAACAAACACGCCTTGTGTGTGAACGGCCCCTAACTGAGACTTTTATCTCACAATATTGCAGAGTTCATATCTTGCAATTCTGAGTTGTTTCGCAGAACTGTGAGAAAAAAAGTCTGAATTGTGAGAAAGTCGCAATCGAACACCTTTCTGAATCAAAAAACAAATAAAAAATAGGATTTGTGTGCATATATATACGTCGCTTACAAAATCTTTTTATTTTGTCTGAATGCACAGCTACTTTTGAAAAAAAAAGTGACAAAAAAGTAAGTGACACATTTTTGTTAAAACTTTAACAACGATGTTTTTGTTAAAAACTTTAGATGCCAAGAAAACATTTAACATTTTCATTTCGATTAAACGATGTACAAAAATAACTCAAACTAAAACTGAAAAATTTTTTTTTTAAATATATAAACATAAAAAAAGGACAATACAATTATTAAAAACTTAAAATAAAAAAATGGAAAAACAAACACTAATTCAAACTTTTAATAAAAACTATAATAGTATCTCTATAATATTACAATACTTGTAAACACACACACAGTCTAATAAATCAAAGAAACCTGTTCTGAATCTTTAAAGAAGTGAAGACTTCACTTTCCTTCATCATTTTGCTCAGTAACTAAATAAATAAAGTCACCTTGGAGTCCATAACACTATATAGTGAAAGGATGTTCACTTACACTATCTACTGCACAATTAAACAGTTTCTTTAAATAATAAAAACAGATATGAATAAGAGCTGTATGCCCTCATTATAATTTGCATTGCTTAAAATTATCAGCAGCTCATTAAAAATCCATCACTGTTCACGTGAAACACAAGTCTGTGTGTTAGCTTAGCGTCTGATGACATCATAGGAAGTGTGGGCGGGCTCTAAGCTCTTCAGAGCAGCTGATTGGCTGTCTGTGATGATTGGCGGCTCACACGGCAGGAAGTCATTGTTGCCGACGCTGGAGTTCTGCTCGGAGTTCACAAAGTTTGGAATGTGGAAGTCGGACAGGAAGTGCTCGTCTTCATCTCCTCTCTCGTCCTTCGCTGCCCTCTGGAGGCGGAGCCCGGGGCCCCGCCCACAACGCCTCCCTCGGCCAATCACAGCGTCTCTGACGGCCTCCTCGTGAATGTAGAAGTGAAAGAGGGAACGTGATTCGTCTGGCAGCGGCGGCAGAGAAAACGCCTGAGAGCCGCCGAGCTCCAGCACACAGTCAGCTAGACCATGATGCTTTTCACTGGGATCAGGGATCCTGCGGAGAAACACGGACAGACTGAGGCTTTGTGTTACATCAGGTGGCACTTTTTTAACAAATCTGTAACTATTAAATAATCTCATTGCATTTTCAAATTTTTTACTTTTTTTTTATTTCTACTATATTAAAAAAGTTAAATTTATGTTAAAAAAATATTAAAATGTATTTAATTGAAACTTTTTAATACAAATAAAAAATAGCATTTTTAATATAAATAATTTTTTTTTAGATTGAGTAAAATAAATAAAAAAGAAACTGTATACAACCACATGATTGAACTGCATTTTTTTAAAAATTGTAAAAAATTTTTTTACAATTGTATGGTTGAACTTCATAAAAACATTTTTGTTACTTGAAATAAAATAAAGATCAACTAAAAAAAAAAAAAAAAACGTATTTTACTTCAGCTAAAGAAAACATTACTCATTTTCATTAAAAAACTATACAAAAACTAAAATAAAAATAATAAAAACTATATAGACATATTTAAAAAAAAAAGCCTAATTGAACGAAAAAAAGACAAACACATGATTAAATAAACATTTTCTCATTTTATTTTATTTAATAAATGGGAAATAATACGTTATCAGTAACTATATACCAAAACTTGGTCCCCAAATAACTTTCTCAGTGACTTTACATTTTGGCATAAATTTTAATTTTTAATAAATTTAATTTAAAATCTATATTTAATCTATTGGTAATATTTCTATTAAAATATCGCAAAATCTTTGCGATTTTTGTGATTATATTTTTATATTTTAAACTTTTTTTTTTTTTTTTTTACTTTTTTTATATACACTGTAAAAAGTGAGTTTTCGAAGTTGTAAATAAAACAAAGATTATTGGTGTATGTTGTTATTGGAGAAAATACTATTTCAGATTTTTCTACTTCAAAATTTAATGTTTAATTCAATGGTGTTCATTTTTGTAGTTGTTAAATTTACTAGCAATTTTTGAATGTAAAAACTGTTTTTGCACCGATTTTTTTTCAGTGCAGTAGAAAGCTAAATCTTTTTTTTTTTACGTGTCTGATCTTTGATTTAGGTGAACAGCGCATTTTAATGACTAATTAAATCAGGGCTCATTTGCTGTAATATATGCAGCAGCTGAAGTGTTTCTGCTCATTTGAATATGTGATTACAGACTCTGTTTCTATGGAGACACACGTGAACCTTATTCTACAATAACACATCTGAACAAAAGCAGCATGTTGTGTGTGTGTGTGTGTGTGAGACAGAGAGAGAGAGAGAGAGTTTGGCATAATAACTGCTCCAGTATTGTGTGGGATTTTATTTATAGTCCCAAAGACTGACACTCTCTGACTGATGAGATTTAATATCTCATAATGCATTCAAAATCTGTACTATCTTCACATCATTAAAAAAAAAAAAAAGTCAGAACTTTCAACCATATTATATGAGATCAGCAACTTCTCATTAATGAGTTATAGTGAAAAAACGTCAGCGTTTTGAATGTTACCATGTTATTACTGCTTTTACACCTGTTTTATATATCGAAAAAATTTGATTTTTATTTTAATTTCAAATTACACATGAACACCAAAAAATATATATCATGCAAACATATAGATATTTTTTCAAAATTAATAAGAAATGTTATTTTAATATATCATTGTATGAAATTTACAAGAACACATAATCTGATATTTACCAGCATTAAGCCCAGTGGAATGAATGGAAATGAATTAAATTTCTTTGAATTGCTCAAGATCTTACATTTATGAAATCTACATATTTATTTCTAACAAAACAACATCAAAATAACAAACATTAATTTGAAAAGTTTTAAAGCAAAATAAATTCACTTCACTTTCAGATGAAAAAGTGATCAGTTTTTCATGCTGCAGTGGTTCATTTTTGACGTACATATTCATGTTCATTAACATAATTCAGTCCAAAAGTGTGTGAGATACGAGGAAATGGCTAAAAATATTACAGCGGTTTTTGACACTAATATAACTTCACAGATAATTTAGCGAAGTAATTTTGACATTTTTGGTACTCCATACATACCCAGGTCAAAATTACCCAAACATTTTAAATGTTTATATCTCTAAAAAAAAATTATTCTAAAAAATCTGAAAAAATAAAAAAAACAAATGATGTGTATTTTGAGGCTCTTAAAGTGTTTGCAAAGTTTTATTCCTTGAGTAAAAACTATGCATTTCATAGAAATTTGTATGCATCTCTTCCAGGTCAAAACAGACATGAAAGTGTAATGAGGGTTAAAATCTAATATTAAAGTTTCAGAAAAGATCTGAACAATGTTGTTGAACTCAAAAAGTCAGAGATCACAATATAAACTCTCATATTTCTCACGAAAATAATAAAAAAATCGAATGTTGTCCATGTTATCCACATCCGTTTAATAAAGTGTGTGTTTTACTCACTCTGGATGCGGAGCTCCTGTTTTTGTCAGCAGCGTCAAAACAAAGAACATAAAGATGACGAACACGGCCAGTCCGACCCAGAAGCCAATCACTATAGAGTCTGACGAAACAAAACCAGCATTTAGAACACACACACACACACACACACACACACACACACACACACACACACA